CATGTTTGATGTGGTAACCACTGGCAGTTATGAAACAACTATATGGTAATCAATAACCGCACAATAGTTACAATCATGACAATCATGACGTTCAACGGTCCCGTCTACGACGGTCCCAAGATGGTCACAAAATGGTCCCAACAACAACAATAACAATAGTCCCGTCTACGACGGTCCTAGAGTCCGCACACTGTGCATTACCAGGTTTCCCTTACTCTTTAGGATCGACTGACCCGTGTCCAACTGCTGTTCACACGGAACCTTTCTCCACTTCAGTCTTCAAAGTTCTCTTTTGAATATTTGCTACTACCACCAAGATCTGCACTAGAGGCCGTTTCACTCGGATTCACATCCAAAGCTTCCACACAAACCTCCACGCCCTCCTACTCGTCAAACCATTGTATTTGGTCCGACGGTCGAGTATGGGTAGCACGCTTGAGCGCCATCCATTTTCAGGGCTAGTTCATTCGGCAGGTGAGTTGTTACACACTCCTTGGCGGGTTCCAACTTCCATGGCCACCGTCCTGCTGTCTAGATGAACCAACACCTTTTGTGGTGTCTAAATGAGCGTGCATTCTGGCACCTTAACTCGACGTTCGGTTCATCCCGCATCGCCAGTTCTGCTTACCAAAAATGGCCCACTAGAAACTCTCATTCGCTGTCGCGGTTCATTCAAGTAACCACAACGTCTTACATATTTAAAGTTTGAGAATAGGTCAAGGAATTTACTTCCCCGAGGCCTCTAATCATTCGCTTTACCTCATAAAACTGATACTGAGCTTCTGCTATCCTGAGGGAAACTTCGGAGGGAACCAGCTACTAGATGGTTCGATTAGTCTTTCGCCCCTATACCCAAATTCGACGATCGATTTGCACGTCAGAACCGCTACGAGCCTCCACCAGAGTTTCCTCTGGCTTCACCCTATTCAGGCATAGTTCACCATCTTTCGGGTCCCAACATGTATGCTCTTGCTCAATTATTATTAATTGGCCAATGGTGCTATATATTCCCACCTTTTCACTTTTATTTTGCATTTGGGTTTATTCACTCAAATACTTGCATATATGTTGGACTCCTTGGTCCGTGTTTCAAGACGGGTCGTTTAAAACCATTTCCTCAACGTTTTTGTGGTGGGTAAGTATGAATTGATTTGTTGGAGTGTCATTGATCTGCATGCATTTCAACACCACCACAGTCAAAACAAGACATGTTATACATCACACCCTAAAGTCCAACCCGTGACATTTGACTAGACTTTGTCCTAATAGGTCTACTCTAGCCGTTTTTATCACTTGTCAAACCCTCGTTGACTCTAATCATCAAATATAGACTCACCACATGGTGAATTGAAATTCATGTTTAAATACTGGTTTCAAGCGTTTCCCTTTTGACAATTTCACGTACTGTTTAACTCTCTTTTCAAAGTTCTTTTCATCTTTCCCTCACGGTACTTGTTCGCTATCGGTCTCTCGCCAATATTTAGCTTTAGATGGTATTTACCACCCATTTTGGTCTGCATTCCCAAACAAACCGACTCTTGGATATCCCAATACATTATTACTTGGCAATCAAAAACGGGATTGTCACCCTCTATGATGTTTTATTCCAAAAAACTTTTTGATTGTCTAGTAAAAAAATGGGGTTTCTCTAAACTACAATTCGCACTATTGTGAGATTTCAAATTTGAGCTATTCCCGCTTCACTCGCCGTTACTAGGGGAATCCTTGTTAGTTTCTTTTCCACCGCTTATTGATATGCTTAAGTTCAGCGGGTAATCTTGCATGATTTGAGATTATATTTTTGTTGGTGTGACGTTGTATTACTACTTTTTGTATCACTCATTTACTACTACTTTTAAAACCTGTCAAATTACAATAATTTTGGCATGGTTCATATCTGTCCAGTCAATTCGGACAATGTATTTTTATAATTCTCAAACATGTATACTCTTTTACGAGTGCAATGTGCGTTCAAAGATTTAATGATTCACAAAGGTTTGCAATTCACATTACGTATCGCATTTCGCTGCGTTCTTCATCGTTGCGAGAGCCAAGAGATCCGTTGTCAAAAGTTGTTTTTAATATTTATTTTCAATTTTTTTCAATTAAATTATTCAATTTCCAATTAATTTGTCGAAAAAATAAATAAATTTTGTTCGACTCGTGACATATGGCACACTGTATTATATCAAGGGTGTTTTTTGAAAAAACAATGGGTCATTCCATCAACATTTACACATCAATAAAACTCCCATCCACCCCAACAACTAATAATGGTCCAACCGGAGGGTCACCTACGGGTACCTTGGTACGACTTTTACTTCCTCTAAATGACC